TACAGTAGTTCTTTATTGTATACTGTATCTATTGATATACACACCGAATTATTTCAATTGTAATGTACAGTACACTATTTACTCCCTTTGTTTACTACTGTATTAAATAAACACTGTATTTTACTTTATAAAGCATTTTTCACTTTTCCCTAGCTATTGTTATGTAAAAACAACAATATGTTCTGTAATCCAAACTATTCAATAGTCCGAACTACCCCCGGTCCCAATTAGTTCGGATTAAAGAGGTTCTACTGTACTGATCATTTCAACAGATGTTTATGACTTTTAATAAATGTTTATATTTGTCTAGAAAAACATTTTGTTATTCACACGTATATATTATTTTTTAAACCCCACAAACCAACTACCGTATATAAAATGAAAGTAAACTTATTCCTCTACATAAATATACATAGTTATAAAGGCAAATATACAAAAATAAATATTTTATAGTTTTTTCTATAAAATGCTGCTGTGCCTTTTTCATTTAGCGATTAAATCGTTTGTTAATTATGACAAAATGTTTCAAAAACGGGCTAAATGTAATGTCCCAGACCTCAAATTAAGAAAGTATATCCACATAAAACAGTTTATTAACTAAATAAGTACAATTTTTACAACTAATAAATATGATTAAAGTGATAAAGTCAAACCCGCGATATTCGTTGTTGGTAAACAGTCAATGAAGTTCACAAAACTGGCTAAAAAACAGTGTCTCAAGTTTCTAAAAGTAATGTCACATTACAGTCGAGGCACAATAAATAATATCGTAACGAAACATTTACAACTTATAATCACGATGTAAACAACTGATAAAGTAAAATCACACCAAAACTCGACTTGTTAGTTATTGGTCAACAGAGATTGAGATTAGTTAGTCAGGCAACTTAATGTATATTTTTGCAACTATATGTTATTTTAATGTATTGAAATATGTAGGGCCTATAATAAAATGTAATTGATTAATTGAAACAAGAGGTTCTACCCGCGAATTCACGGACGAACAGAAGCCACCATTAAATTAATTTAATCAACTTTGACTTTATATTTCATTTAAAGGGCCCAAGTTCGAGAAATTGTCATCTGAAAGGGTGTTAAAAGCAGTGGAACCTTCATACCTTAAGTCCTAAGGTTGGCCGATGTTAAGTACCTGTAAACGCAGCTCTCTTTCACGACGTCTTTAATACTTTACTTTAATACTTTTCAATGAAATTGCGACCTGTTAAAGATCGGTGACAACCTCTTGGAACGAAGAACATACATGGTTTTAATCCCATATTTATTGTGTTTCGAACACCTTTAATCACTCACTTACCTCTAACAGCTAGAAATAGCTTCACTGTCCATTCGCCGCACTTCTTTTAAGAACATAAAAGTAAATAATAAAATAAGTAAACAAAAATTTAAACAAACAAACTATATTGTCAATTGCATTGGCCGGCTGTTGTTCACTAAATTCATCGAATAATAACTTCCAAAACATGCAAGGCGTAGCCCTTTGGAAATCAGCCCGTGGGACAGAGCCCTTAGGGAGTTCGTCCATATCAATACTTTTCGGCAAATCTACACGCTCAAAGCTTCATTTTGATATGCCATATGCCTATATTTTTATTTGGTAAATTGCCTTAACCGTTTACATAAAATTTGATTGTATCACTTTAATAACATAATAGATTCTTCTCCTTCCTGTAAAAGTTTCAAAATAAATGTAATTTTATACAACCTCAATGTATTTTATATCCTCAATGAATCCTAAAAGGTATGAATAAGTAATAAATAAATACAATTAATAATCCATACTTAAGATACATTCGAGCAATACGGACACAGATATTACACAGTAACTTAATACATTGGATCAATAACTACAGTATTCTTAGCCATCGCTTTACATTCCACTCTCATCCTTAAATATCTACTAAAGTTAATTTTTTACTTATTAAAATTGATGTTAGGCCTATACGTAATCCTATTTAAAAATCAATTAGGCCTACTTTTATACAATACATTAATACCTAATAAAAATCTAATGTCCAACGTAGAGCTTAATAAACGCAAAATGTGCGGTAATACCAGAGCTGACACAGGCAAAGATATACGGTGCCGGGAGCCCGAGGTATCGCCGTGACGTCACAGCGGCGGAGTGGTGGGGAGCCACCTGGCATCACTTTCTGAGCTCGCGTGGCCTAGCCCTTGTATATCTGTAGCCCTGGACTGGAGTGGCCAATTTCACTACCATTCCGCGCAGTTTGAGCAAATGTATCCCTTCTTTTAGGCTACTAATGAACTTTTAAGTAGCCTAAGGTATTAGTGAAAAATTATCCATATGACGATAATGTAAACAAATCTGGGAAGGGAATTTTAAAGGCCTCTGGGGCATATCTCTAAGGGAATTTACTTAGGCCTAGTTTTTCTTTGGCTGGCTCATCTACAGACCGAGACCTTTCTTTGAACACCTCTACCAAGTTTCTACGCCCAGCCGTTCTCTCAAATTAGTGGAGACAAAGTTTCCAATTAAATATTTCGATTCCCCGGATGTTAATATGGGAGAAAACCCAACTTTGATGGAAGATCCTGCCCTAAATAAAAATACCCCCGCCGCAGCAAACCTGCAGACTAAGCGAATTTCCATTTGACTGATTGGATTTACACTGAAATGTCTACTTAAAAATAACATTTATTCTTGATTTAAATAGAATTAGTTTAACAAGTACTTAGGTTTGCTGCATCAGGGAGGGTACCGGTAAAACTGTTTTTTTTGTAAAATGTGAATAGTTAGTAAGAAATAAAAACATTTTCCAAATTTGATCAAAATATGTTCACAAACAAGCAAACTACAACAGTTTACTTATTCTCGATAAGAATAACATGGGAATTTTAAATTTAGAAGTTTTTGGAATTTTCTCCGTAACCATTAGGCGCATAATAACGCTTCAATATACTAAATTATTTCTTTTTTAAGCTCTACAAAATGGTTTAGAAAGAAATTGCTAAATTTTATGTTTTTTTGGGTCAAAAATGGGAAAAACCTATTTTTACCCCATAAAACCCCCCGTAAGCCCCCGTTCCCATGGTCCGATCATGCTGGATCGCGAACTCGTTCAAATAAACGTACGTTTACACGTTTGTACCAAATTTCATCAAAATCGGATCATTTTTGCTTCAGTTATCGTGCTGACGGACACATATATATATATATATATGTAAATATATAGGGTATATATATGAATTTGAACGGATGGTGTTTTTGGCCTCTAGGGACCTCAAAACGAAAAAAAAAATCAGTCCCGCGTCCAGGTCTTACCATGAGTACTACGGTAATAGCTTATTCCCTAGGCTATACTTATGGGAAATTCGCTAAAAGATTTAAAAAAATGAAAAACACTTTGTAAAACTACAGATCAGGGACAAAGTTTAATCATCAAAATCGGTCCAAAAATGAGGGAGGAGTTCTGTTCACAAAAATGGCTTTAAGCAAATTATATACCTTATATATATATATATAGGCTATAAGTTATATATATATATATAAATAATATAGGCCTATATATTTAGATTTTGGATGGGTGGGATTGGCGGGCCTTAAAGTAATTAGGCCTATTTAAAAGATGCATGGGATAAAAGATGGGGGTTAATCCAAGAATTTAAGTTAGGCTAATCTGTGAAAATCATTTTCCCAAATTTTTTAGGTAAAAAAAATACCTAGGCTATTTTGGAAAATTTTCAAAAAAAAAATAAGTTCGCGCTCAATGAAATTGTATAAATTTTAGGCCTATAAATATTTGAAAATAGCCACTTTGTTCTAAATTTTATGAGGATTACATATATATAATAATATAAGGAAGTAGATTTGCAAATAAATAAGTTATGGTCAAAAAACAGATTTCAGTACATAGCGTTTAGCTAAGAATGCATACTGTAGCCTAACCATAGCTAGGAATCTGGCTGATAATTTACATCAATATCTCTACCTACTTTCTTCAGGATCATCAACCAGCCCTTCAAAATCACTTAAATCTTCTTATAATGCACCACGTATATCACTACTTTTGATTTTTAACACTAAAACAATGATAAACGTAATAAAACACATCAGTCATCGGTCCGAGGTTAACCAAGCTGTTTACAAATACGCACGTCAGCTGTCTACTACAATATTTTCGGAACTAAAATGAATAGCGCTTAGAGACAGACCTCCGGAGAAAGCTCTGAATCTAATTAAAAAGAACGATACCTAACTCGATCCAGTTCAATCCGATTCAGTCAAGTCATAGAGCCTTCGACGTAAACGATGTTCGTGTGTCGAAAAATTGACAAGTGACACTACACAAAGTGTGTCGTGAGTCGATTTTTCGACAAGTGACGCTCGGAGGATTAAACTTAAACGGCAAAATAGAAGTTAACTTAAACGGCAAAATATAAGTTAAATCATTATTAAGAATGAAATACTAACTTAGGCTAATAACAATTAAATTAACTTAGGCCTAGGCCTAGGCCTACATTGAATGGTCCAAAGATAAGCAATAACTTAAGTTAAGCTAACTTAAGTATATATAGACCTAAGCACCCATAACTTAAGGCAAGTTAACTTAAGTTCTATGCTATCAAAATACACAGGTAGGCCTAGTTTATTCCAGCTGAGAGATAACGTACAAAATAGGGCTTTAGGTATCACAAACCGAGATAAGATTGGCCCTAGCATCTGGCCTAGGCCTATTTCTATTAGCCTATGGAACATTTGAAAAACGTCTAGTTAGGTGTGTGTTAACTTGAGTACCAAACCTAGAGTTTTAAAGTCGCAAGGTAACAAGTATCAAAAACACTCAAACAAATCAGAAAACAGTCAGGAACAATTTTCAAAAACCATTTTAGCCGCTGACACACCCCTTCATTAATGCCATAACACCCGCCATGATGGTCACGAGCCAAAAACAAGAGCGAATGATCGTAATACAAAGTAAGGAATGAGAAATTATCTGACCGCTAAACAATTTACTTACAAATTAAGTCAGCCACCTGTACTCCAAATGATAAATTCCACACTTTGAAAGCACTAGAAACTAGAAACTCACGACGATTCCATCGAAAAACCACTTCGAACACGGCGGACACAGCCGAGACGTATTTTTGTCTGCCTGCTCGCTTGCAGTTGCAGAACGTGAACAACGGGAACGGATTATTTCGTTTTCGTTCGTTGTCGTTCCTTACCTTGTTCCTTCTTCTTTCCTAGTTAGCGTTCGGCTGTTACATCATTATGCAATCCTCCCCAAATAATATCTGGTAAACTTTAAAACCAGGTTAGTGAAAACTGTTATTATATATGTAAAAAAACTGTTTCCAGATTCCAGACTAGGAACAATTTATTTATAATCACGTAGTATGTTTTATCATAGATAAACCCGTTTTATCTATGGTTTTAACTATGGTAGTATGAACAATGTATTGTTTGATACACTTGTTAAGTTGTTGCTTTTAACATGTTCACTATCACTGTCTTATGTTATATATTTCTGTAATTTTAAGTAAAAATATCCTCCGCTGTTTGTCGATAAGTTCGGTAAGTCTAGTCTGTGTCACATAATTATTCGTTATTATATTTTTTGCAATTTACTTTTGCTCGTTTATCTATCTGGATCTCGGCGTTCTTATTTGACTCATCATTGTTGAGTTTGGGTTGGGCCCCCATCTGTGTTACTGATAGAGCCTTTGAGGAACCGCGTGTGCTCCATGGAGTTCCCAAGGCTCTATCTTTGGACCCCTCTTATTCTTGATTGCCATCAACGATTTGCACTACCATGTTAATAGTCTCATTATTCTATTTTGCAGACAACACAACTTTATTTTATTTTCATCCGATAGAAACTGGTGGAGGCTGTCATTTCCTGGGTTTTCAAAAAGAGCTAATTCGTTTAAAATGAACCATTGCTGAGCCAAGGCCAAAGAGCAGTGCATGACTCTTTGGCCTTGTCTCAGCAATGGTTTTTTGCCTAATGTACCTGAAAGTGTGTCTTTAAAACTCTTAGGTTTTGTACTGGATCCTAAGCTATCTTGGGAAGACCACATAGATGTCATGTGTAAGAGACTTGTTCCAGCAGTGTGTTGTTCCTGCTTAGAAACCTTATGTCTGAGCTACCAATGCCAACGGTCAAGCAGGCTTACCATGCTTTGATGCTTTTTCCAGTCTATTCTAGTCTACGGAACCAGGCTGTGGGACCATGTCACTGGTACACAGAGAATTATATTGATTAAAAAAAGAGAACTCCTTCAATTTAGCCTTGGAATAATTTCTTGAGTATATTTAAATGTAGCTGGCTGGTGTTTATTCTTATTTTTAACTTTACATATTAAGTAGTGGTCATCCGATAAACTGGTCAAGTGTGCTTGTACAGAGATTTCATCTGGTTGTAAGTTGGTGTGACAACCATCAATGCTAGAGAGAGATATGCGTAACACCCATATTCAGACAAGAGGCATAGGAGATTTTTTACACCCCGATTGTCAGGGCTTCAAAATGTCAAAATTTGCGTCGCCTGCTAGGATCAGATCATCAGGCAGTAGTTATTTTTCGTGGTGTAACTGTGTAAGACGTGTCCCAGTTTTGTTAGAAAATCCTCTTCAGTGGTACTATTGGGTGATATGTATGTGCCAATCAGAATCAGTATGATGTTATGGAATTTGTATTTTAGTTTGATTGCAACAGTCTCAAATGTTTGTTCCTCTCCCATACACAGATCCTGGAGTTTAATTTCTTCTGTGCCGATAGGGAGATTATTTTTTTAATAAAGTGCAACACCACCCCACATGTGATGGATTCTACAGAATTGTGATGCCAGCAGAGCCGTCTTTATAAGATGCGAGGCCTAAGGCAATACATAATTGCGAGGCCTTGTTGAACTAAGCTAACCGGGGGGTCTACCCCCCAGCTGAGGGGGGGGGGTCCGGGGCGGAAAATTTTTGTAAAATTATACTTGTAAAGTCGTCATTTTAAGCACTTTGACGAAAAAAATGAATATTTTACACTCTGATAATGGGCGTGAATATTATTGCTAATTACACATATTATTGTTCCAATTCCAAAGTGGATATCATAAATATTGCACACGAAATTCTTTACAATCATTAATAAAAAAAATTAACACTTCTCCTTTACTGTGGATTATTGTGAATTGAATTAACACTTTGTAAATTAAACAAAGTGGCGGGACGACAATTAATAGTAAATGCTTATAGGCTATCTTGTTTATTTATTTTTTGTCAAGTTAGGTTTATAAATATGTGAATACTTCTGTGGCCACTTTTGCTGACGATACAGCTATTTTAGCGTCCCATCCTGATCCAGTGGTAGCTTCACTTAATCTTCAAAATTCCCTAGATGACTTAGAAGAATGGTTGCAAACATGGAAAATAAAAGAGAATGAGAGCAAATCTACTCATGTGACCTTCACTACCAGATTAGGTACTTGTCCTCCTGTAACCTTAAATAATATCCAAATTCCGCAATCCCACGAAGTGAAATACCTCGGCATGACGATTGACAAAAGATTAACATGGAAAAACCATATCTGGAATAAAAGAATGTACCTAAATTCAAAATTTAAAAATCTTTCCTGGCTCCTAAATAGTAAATCAAAATTACTATACAAAGTAATCCTGAAGCCAATTTGGACTTATGGAATCCAACTGTGGGGAACATCCAGTATGTCGAACATAAACATCATCCAACGATTTCAGTCAAAAGTTTTAAGGTTCATTCTGCAAGCCCCTTGGTATGTTAATAACAATATCCTTCACAAGGACAGTGGAATTCCTACGGTTGAAGAGGAAATAACCAAATTTAGTGCAAAATATCTAAAGAAACTTGAAAATCACCCTAATCACCTGGCTCTAAACCTCTTGGACAACAGTACCAGTATATATACAGGCTAAAAAGGATTCATGTTTTGGATCTAAGCACACGTTTTGTTTGAACAATTTAATTTTCCCTTGTTTATTTACATATTTATTTTTTCATTGAAATATTTTTAAGTTAGCTCTGTCAATGGACAGAGATTAACTAACGTTTTATTAAAAGTTGTTATTGTATTTGCTAAATGTTCTAAAAATGAACAGATTGTAAATAAAATTGTGAAAAAAAAGTTAGGTTTATTCTGTTTTCGGCAGTTGGTCTGTGAAGGGTGTTTTAAAGGTAAAAGATATTACATAAATAATTGTCCAGTATGATAATTTTTTTTTTTTGTTGGGCATCACTCACCTTATTGAAATCACGAGAACGCAGTCCTTGTCATGTCACAATCATGATGGTGACAAGTATGATTGTGACTTGACAAGGACTGCGTTCTCGTGATTTCAATAAGGTGAGTGATCCCAACAAAAAATTATCAAACTGAAGTATTGACCTCACCTAATATACCATGTCGTTTAGGAATAAATAATTGTCAATGAGATACTTGCAAAATTGTCATTTTAAGCAATTTGATAGAACAAATGAATCTTTTATACTCTGTAAATGGCCGTTAATATTATAGCTAATTGCACATATTTTTGTTCCAATTCCAAAGTGGATATCATAAATATTGTCCACGAAGTTCTTTACAATAATTAATAAAAAAATGAACACTTTTCTTCACTGTGGATTGTCGTTCCGTCACTTTGTAAATAGTAAATGCTCTGCTAACTTGTTTATTTACTTTTTGTCAAGATAGGTTTATTGTGTTTTCGGCAGTTGGTCTGTAATGGGGGTTTTTAATTGGTCTGTAATTGTCAATGAGTTTTTAATAATAAATTAAAAGAGAGTATCATTACAGTGTAATTGATTCACAGTGTATTTCTTTTTACTTTAATGACAAATATTGTCATAGGTTCATGTTTATTGCGAAATGCGAGTAGTTTACAGTCAGTCTTATCCACGCTGATTATCCATCCAATCCAGTAAACATTTACATCTGTAAACAAATTGCACTTAATTAATCATACAATAGAAGTTTAGTAAAATTTGAATTTATCATGGGCTATATGAACAAATATAAATATATTTTCCTAGTATGAGTTAGATATAAATTAATACAAAGATATAAAGATATAAATTAATACGTTCCAGTTAAGCTGATGAAAAAATAATGTAAATTTATATTTAGTTAAAATTATATTTAAAATTGTGTTTAAATATTATCAACCTAAACTCACCTCAAGTGAACTGTACTTTTCTCTCTTTCATTCCAGCGAAGTCGTTGGATATCGTCAAAATTAATTTTGGATGTCGTGTCAGATTCAATTGATGATGTTGCCAGAGATCACATGGCATGACCCCCCCCCCCTACCATATGACAGGTTCGTCGGTGGCGCCATGGTTGCGTGGTGTTGGCGCGCCAGGCACCGGCACCAGTACCAGTAAGAGTAAGCGTATGACTCACTGACATTCACCGGGGTGGCTTGGTGGCTGCCGCGAGGCTCGGGTTCCGTCATCGCCTCCGAGCTGTCAAACGTTGTTTGATATTCTTTTGTGTTTTATATGTCGTTCGTAGGTTTCTAATCGATACAACAATTGATATAGACTAATTAATAATAAATAAAACATATTTTAGGCACATGTATCTGTCTGTCCTTTATTATTTTATTTTCATTCCAAAACATTAACTTATTTATAGTGATAGTAAGGCCTCGCCGGGCAGGCCTCGCTGGTCAGGCCTCGCCGGGCAGGCCTCGCCGGGCAGGCCTTCTCCGGCGCGAGGCCTGGAGCGGCCGCTCCACCCTAAGGACGTCGCTGGATGCCAGCACATATCCTTTAATATTAGTGACGGCGAGCTCTTCACTCTTTAAACCGTGTTCCGACAGGATCAAAATGTCAGGCCTAATTTTGTCTACCTCTATTAGCAATCTGTCAATTTTGTTTTGTAGTCCTCGCTGTATGTTGAGATGGGAAGATAGTTAATGATGGTTTATTGAAATTGCTATTGTACTGTGTGTTAGAAAAATGTCGGGTATGCTGATTGTCAGGCTGGTGGGGGGTGGGTTTAGGCTTGTGTGCTATGTAGTTTGCGAAGAAGTCGGTCACTTGGAGTTTGGGTGCTCATGGATGTCATCGTGGCCCTCTACGTCTCCTGCAACAGGCCGGATGATGCCAATGATGCTTTTGGTCAGGATCTCCACCCCTTCGCTGTTCAGATGGACTCCATCTTACCTCAGATCACAGAATTATACTACTATAACGTATGTTTTCTGTGCTCAGATGTTTCTCTCCTAATAGGCTTGTGTTATCAATAAAATTTATTTTCACCTGCGCACACAAGAAACGTAGTGCATTCTTGGTTCCTCTATAAATCTACGGTAACTGTCATTTCTATGGTATTGACATTACGTACCAGTCCGTCCCTATGGGTGGAGTTTCTTGTATGCCTCAATAGTCAGCCAGAGTGGACGCATTACATGGTTCGGGGTTCTTGCTAAATTCGGAGACTGTGCAGTATGTCTAGTATGCCTTCTGTTAAGTATCGCTTCAGTTTGTTATTGAAGGTGACAGTTTTTTCTATAGTTTTGAGTTCTGGTGGAAATAAATTGAAGAAGTAAGAGCCAGAATAATAGTAGGGACTGTTGTTGAATTTCTGCAAACGATGCTGTGGCAAGTCTATGTTATGTGTGGTACGGAGGTGGTATGAATGTTGTTCAGATCTTAGGGTCGATGTTGATTTTTTGCGAGTGTGATGGATTCCAACACGTACAAGGAAATGATTGTTAGCAAATTGTTGTCTCTGAAAATTGGCTTGCAGTGTTCATGGGGTTGCTGTTGAAAGATTATTGCCATTATCGATGGTCTTATTTTGGATGGTAAGGATGAGTTCCATGTTCTTGGCTGTTAGTGTTGTGGATCCCCATACGGCAACTCCATAACGTAAATGGGAAGAAAAAAGTGAGTTATAGGCTATTAATACTGTATGTTCATTGGTGATGACTGATGGCTCTATCGTACAACGTGGTGTGCAGATGATAATTTCCCACACAGGTAGTCAACATGATCCTGCCAGCTGAGATTTTGGTCAATATATATTCCGAGGGACTTTGATGAGGGCGGTAACGGTATACTATGCTGAGGTCAAGCCAATAGCTATTAGATTCGTTCTTATGTTGTTTGGAGTAAAGTTTACGAGGACAGTTTTTGCTTTGTTTATATTAAGTTTCATGGAGTTGCATGTAGTGGTTGTACTGTCTTGGTTTATAAATATTATTGTTCCAGATTTTGAAGAGTTTGCGTTCCGAGATGGTTTTGAACGTCGAATATCTTCCTCCCTTGGTTGAAAGTAGGTTGTAACAAGATTGGCAACTCCGTTGACCTCTTTACTGCCCACCTTGGAAGCTCCAAAAGTTATTGCAACTTTTGACATTTTCCCTAGAAAATTTTATATTTACTCCCACCGCTTACCCATAATAAAGATTGTTCACAAGCTAATGCGAGAAAGTATGTGTCAGATTGCTGATACCATTTATTTCCCTGTAATAAACCTCACAAAAACCCAAATATGAAAATTATTTTTTGCTAAATACATTTGCATTGAAACAAAATCAGTGGCCATACGGCTTGAAAAATTCACTAATTTGTTCAGTTGGTATCGTTTAAATAAAAATAAATTAACGGTATCAGCATTCTGACACATACTTTCTCCCATAAGTTTGTCAACAACCTTTATCATGTGTAAGCGGTGAGAGTAAATATACGGAAATGGGATTAGTACAATTTTGATCAGAATTTAAAGGACTATAACATACTAAATTTTTATCAAAATCGTTCGGGCCATTTTTGTGAAAATCCGATTTTTCCGTTAATTATTTTATGGGGGTTTTATGGGAAAATAACATAATTTACAATAACTTTTGAACCGTAATTTTTACAGAAATGGGATTTGTACCATTTTGTTCAGAATATAAAGGACTATAACATACTAAAGTTTTATCAAAATCGTGATGGCGGTTTTTGGGAAAGTCCTACTTTTCCTTTATTTCATGGGGTTTTATGGGAAAATCCCCATTAAAAATCAAAATTTATAAAAAATTGAAAAAACTATCAAAATTGTAAGGACCATAACATACTATGTTAAATAAAAACCGGATTTTTTTCTAAAAATCCTATTTTTCGTTATTTTATGGGGTTTTTATGGGAAAATAACATCATTTACCATAACTTTTGAACCGTAATTTTTAGAGAAATGGGATTTGTACCATTTTGTTCAGAATTTAAAAGGCTACAACATACTAAATTTTTATCAAAATCGTTCGGGCCATTTTTGAGAAAATTCAATTTTTCCTGTTTTTTGTGGGTTTTTAAGGGAAAATCCCTATTAAAAATCAAAATTTCAAAAAAATGAAAAAAACGCCTGGAGAAACCATGGCTTAGAACCTACATACCAAATTTCATCGAAATCGGACCACAGGTGTAGTCTCTAGCTCTGTACACATCCAGACACACACATACACGCCATCCCTATACTTGTGTGGACATGGGTTTTTAACCAAACTATGTGGACATCAAGGCACACGGCTGAAAAAAATATCCTAGGTTCTTTCTAACCTCAAATTGAAGATGAGTAAAAGAACACTCCTTGTTTATTGGTCTAAATGTAGTAAAAAAAATCATAAAAATTGTGTGGACGTCCCCACAGTTAATGCAAGAGTCGGTCATGTCCCCACAGGTAATGCAAAAGCTAGTACACATGTCCCCACAGATAATGCAAATGTTGACACAATCGAGTGTTTTCTCGCTTAAAGGTGTTAATGTCCACACAGTTTGGGAATTTCACTGGTTGCATTTTGACAGTATATTTAGGTTATGTCTCCACTCTTCTTTATAAACAAATCGTTGTATATTAGTTACATCCGAATTGCTATGTAGCATATGAAATAACAATATTCATGTATTAATTCATTGTAAAAAATATTTAATAAGTAAGAAATACAGTTTCTCGTCAGATTAAAATATCAGGCCAAAATACCAATGTCTTCATAAAGATATTGCTGGAGGACTATCGATATTTTTTTCAGTGATAGTGATACAATCGATTTGGTTCCATATTACTAATATAATTTAATATTATATATTAATATTGTATAATTTGATATAAATATTTTATAGTATTAATTTAATATTAAAATTTTACAATATTGATTTATTAATTAATATTAATTGAATATTTTATATATTAAAAATATATAAATTAAATACTTTGCTGTATTTGGTTTTGACTTAGTCAATGACACCAACTGACTTTGTCTCTGAACAGAAAGCCCTTTCAGATGAGGTAGCTCTAGTTAGCGCCTATAACCGACGGTAGTGTAAATGGATTAATGCAGGTAGGAAAAAGATGATTCT